CCCTCCCTCCCTTCCTGCTTCTTCCCTCCTCCTCTTTCTGTCCTACTTGCCATTCACTGTGCTTCGCGGGCAGATGCTCTTTGACTTACAAGGGGCTCTCGTCCCAGTAAACCCATCATGATTGAAAATGCATTTGCTGCACTGACCTCCCGTCAGAGCGGGGCCTGGCTGGTTTCTACTGATTGTGCCTCACGTGGGAGGTCTCCAAACTCGCTCCCTTCCACGTGGAACTCTTGTCACTAGCTGCTTCGTCGTCCGCCTTAGCGCATGGCTCCTGTGGGGCCGTCCTCGGACCCGTTCTCTCGACGGACCCGGGTTTGCTCCATCTCTGGCCTCAGAGGGTTTTCCTGCCTTTTCTGCAGGCTCGTTCATGTACCTCAAAGGGTGGCTCCTGTCATTTAACTAGACGTTTGGCCAGCATTTTTCGCAAGCACGTTTAATGCTCTCTGTCCTGCCAGGCAGCCAGGAACTCCGTTTCTTATCTGACCTTTCCCTAAAGGGCTGGGCACTAGGTATGCCGTGCGGATCGGCTGGCCTGGTTTTGGTCAACGTGTGGTACCTGCTACTGACCAACCAATGAGGAGGAGGAAGGGGCAGAAATCTGAAAACGTACATTTTGGCCAACTTCTTCAGCCTTTTCAAAATCTCATGGAGGACTACAGTCGTTCCCCCTTATCTGCAGGGACGTGTTCCAGGACCCCAGTGGATGCCTGAACCCACGGATGGCACTGAACCCTGCGTTCACTGTGACTCTTCCTATACGTGCATACCTACAGTGATTTATAAATGAGGCACACTGAGAGATTAACAACAATACCTAATAATAAAATAGATCAATTTTAACACCGTACCGTAATCAAAGGCACGTGGATGTGGCATTATTAAGTAAATAAGGACGACTTGAATACAGGCACTGTGATACCTTGACAATCAATCTGATAACTGAGACGGCTGCTAAGTGACCAACCTGTAGGTGGGCGGCATCTACAGGGTGGACACGCTGGACAGAGGATGATTCATGTCCCAGGCAGGACGGTGTGGGACAGTGTGAGATTTCATCATGCTACTCAGAGTGGCATGCAGTTTAAAACTTAGGAATCGCTTACTTCTAGAATTTTCAAGGTTAAAGGGTCACTGAAACCGCAGAAGGGAAACTGGAGGAGAGGAGACGAGACGGCTGTGATGGGGGGAGAACGGGCCCGTGGCGCATGGTCGCGGTGACGGTTTTGGGCGTACCTCCCCAGAATTTCTTCCTGATGGAGATGATGAACCCAGAAAGCATTTCTTTGTCTGCCCTTCTTCACTTCCAGGTGACCCCCCAAATATACAGCGGTTTCCTGGGCTGTCCACAATTCAGATTTCTTAGAATATTTCAACAAAAGAGCATCTGGAAAAAAAGATGAAAACAGATCTTATTTTCAAAAGGATTTCACAATACGTGACTGAAGTTGACACAGGGCCTAAGCCAGCTTATCTGAAATCTTCAGCTTCTTTAAACATCCCTGAGATTTTAGCCTCTTCTAATAAAAAATTAGTGAAATACAATGAGAAAGTAAAGCTTGACAAAATCCAACCTCCATGCATGACAAGGACTCCCCACGACAGGGGCGTGGAGGAGGTGTACCTCGACGGCAGGCTGCACACGGCAGGCCCACGGCCGGCACGCTCGGTGGTGAAAGGGGCCCTCTCAGACCGGGGACAGGGCAAAGACGCCCCCTCTCACCGCGTCTATTCAACATGGCACTGGGAGTCGGCGGTCAGGCAGGCAAAACAAAGAGAAGGTATCGGAATTGCAAAGGAAGAAGTAAAATTGTCTCTGTTTGCAGAAGACATTATTTTATATACAAGAAATTGGAAAGACTCAACCAGAAAACTATTAGATCTAATAAGCGAATTCAGTAAAGTTGTAGAATACAAAATGAACATACAAAAATCAATAGCATTTCTATACATTAACATCTTTCGAAAAAGAAATAAGGAAACCAATTTCATTTACCATAGCATCAAAAACAACAAAATACTTAAGTTTAAGGAGGTGAACGATTTCTACACTGAAACTATAAGACACTGATGAAGGCAGTCAATGAAGACACAGATAAATGGAAAGGCATCTTGTGTTCATGGATTGGAAGAATTAATATTGTTAAAATCTCAATACTACCAAAGCTATCTACAGATTCAGTACAATCCCTACCAAAATTTTTCAATGGCATTTTTTACAGAAGTAGAAAAAAAACACTCCTAAAATTTATATGGAACCACGAAAGATCCCTAGCAGCCAAAGAAATTCCAAGAAAAGAACAAAGCAGGAGGCATCACACTCCCTGATTTCAAGCCATATTATAAAGCTACAGTCATCAAACAGCATGGTGCTGGCACAAAAAGTGATAAATAGACCAGTAGAAAAGAATTGAGAGCCCAGAAACAAACCCAAGCACATATGGTCAACTAATATTTGACAAGGGAGCCAAGAATACTCAATGGAGAAAAGATGGTTTCTTCAATAAATGGTGTTGGGAACATTGGATATTTACATGCAAAGGAATGAAACTGGACCTATATGACAAGAATTAAAGTAAAATGGATTAAAGACTTCAATGTAAAATGAGACTATGAAACTCCTAGGAAAAAAAAACAAAAACATAAGAACAAAGCTCCTTGACATTGGTCTTGGTGATGACTTGTTGGGTATGACACCTAAAGCGCAATCAACAAAATAAAACATAGACAAGAAGACTACGTCAAACTAAAAAACTTCTGTACAGCAAAAGAAACCATCCACAAAGTGAAAAGACTACCTACGGCATGGAAAAATATTTCCAAACCATATAGCTGATACGGGGTTAATATTAAAAATATATAAAAAACTCATATAACTCATTGGCAAAAAATAAAATAAAATAAAATAATCCAATTAAAAAGTGGGCAAAGGACTTGAACAGACATGTCTCCAAAGAAGATGTACGAAAGGCCAACAGGCACATGTAAAGATGCTCGACATCACTGGTCATCAGGGAAATGCAAATTTAAACCACAGTGAGACGTCACCTCACACCTGCCAGAATGGCCATCATCAAGCAGACAAGAGCTAACAAATGCTGGCACAGATATGGACAGAGGGGGCCCTCGTGCACTGCTGGTGGAAACGTAACTGGTGCAGCCACTGGGGAAAACAGTGTGGAGGACCCTCAACAGATGAAAAACAACCACCATGTGACCCAGCAGTCCCACTTCTGGGTATTTATCCAAAGAAATCCAAAACACTAACTTGAATAGGTATCTGCACCCCTGTGTTCATTGCGGCATTATTTAAAATAGCCAAAAATGAAAATAGCCCAAATGTCCACTGATGGATGAATGGATAAGGAAGAGATACATATGAATCTCATTTTGAAGAGATACATATGAATCTCATTTGTATTCATATGTCTCTCTTCAAAATGAGAGATACATATGAATTCAGCTATTCAAAATGAGAAAATCCTACCATTTGCAACAACATGCAAAGAACGCGATGGTATTATGCTGAGTGAAAAAGTCAAACAGAGAAAAACAAATACTGTATGGCGTCACTTATATGTGGGATTGAAAAAAAAACAGCAAAAAGATCAGACCGTGGTTACCAGAGGCAGAGGAGAAACTGGAGGAGGAGGGTCAAGAGATGTGAACTCCAGGTACGAGACAAACAGCACTAAGGACGGGATGCTCGGCATGGTGACGACAGCCAATGCTGCTGTAGGACGTACAGGAAAGGCGCTCAGAGTAAGTGCTAAGAATTCTCCTCAGAAGGAGCACGTTTGTTTTCTCTTTCCTTTCTTCTTTCTTTCCTTTTTATTGTACCCGCATGAGACGATGCATGTTAGTGAACCTCTCGTAATCATTTCACAATACGTGGAACCAAACCACCATGCGGTACGCCTGAAACTACGCGGTGATGTATGTCAATTATTTCTCACTAAAACTGGAAAAAATGAGAGCAGATACCTCTGCCTGGGCCCAAAGCCCAGACCTATTAGGTTGGGATCGGGGTGAGGCACTGGAGGTTTAAAAGTGCCCCTAGGGTGCCCATGTGGCCCAGGTTGAGAATTACTACTTTGGTACCCAGTGCTCAGCAATGCACACGGCTTCTGACATGCACTTTGCAATAGGTTCCCCCCACCCCCACTCGGATAATTCCTCAGCATCTTGGCGTTACTCCGTGATCCTCTGGGCTAGAGAAGAACCTTCTTTGTTCTCTCCCCAGCTTCTCCATCACTTCTAAGCTGCATTGGACACGCTGACTGTGGGGAGACCCCAGCCCGGGCCCCTCGGTATAGGAAGTGACCTTGGGCTGCTCCTTAAGCGAGAAGTTGTTGCTGACTGCGCCTGTGGGGGCATCTGACCAACCCCTTGGCGGGCAAGAAGCCCTAGGTGGACATGTATAGAAGTCTTCGCCCCTATGAGGAGGTGTCTAACTAGGTCAGACTCCGCTCCCCAGTAGGTGGTGTCTATTTAGGTCAGATCCCACCCCTAGAAGTCGACCGGGGCAATAGTGAGACGAACTGGTCCGTCATGAGCATCAAGGAAGAAGGTGGAAGCTGAGTGGATGTGGCTTCAGAGCTGGTCCAAAGCCTGACTGAGGGCAGCTTCCGAGTCGTCTGAGAGTCGCGTCTCCCTTACCACCTGTGTCCTCAAGGCAAATCCCCAATACAGGCGGTGGCCTGAATGACCTCTCTTCTTTGCAACCCTTAGGGTCCATGACGCAGAGTGAGGGAGGCCCCGGAGCCCACACTTCTCCGTTTGCTCACGGAGCACGGCAGGGCTCCGCGTCCTCCGTGAGCCTCAGGGACCTACACAGCACGGAGGGCCCACCGTGCGGGGCCGTCGCCCCAGGCTGCACCAGCCGGCGGCCCTGCAACTTACCGTAAGCCTGGCAGAGCTGGTTGGGCTTAAAAACGCCCGTGTTCTCCAGTCTCCGGGACAGCCAGTCGTGTGTCACGCCTGCCAGGAGTTTCTCAACGTCCTCCGGCTGCAGGATGCGAGCCTCGAGGACGTCCTGCCGCGTCGTCCCTGGCAAAGAGACAGAAGAACTCCCACTGGAGTTCAGAGAGGACCATGGGTCCCCGCCCTCGGAAGAACTGCTGGAAACCGGGGGAGACCGCCGCCAGCGCGCGGAGGACGAGCCGGCGCTCCCGCTGCAGCCCAGCCTGCTTCCCGCTCCATCTGCTTCCTCGGTGGTAGCACAGTCCTCGCTGCGGACAGAGGAGCGAATGCCACCGCTTCCAGAGGAACTGGGGGTCCCATGACCGCACTGCGGCCTAAGAGCACACGGTCGGGGGTGGCCAGAGGTGCCAGCGGGCTGGACGGCTGTGTCCGTGGGCAACTGGCCCCCCTCGTCTACTGTGGAGGCGTCAGGATCGATGTCCAGCTCTTGGATGGAGCCGCCGCTTTGTCCTGAGTCAGGATCCTGAACAGGCCACAGGCAAGTGGAAGAGCCACATGCCGCCACGGGGCTTCTGCCCAGGGAGTCGCCCATGACTCTGCCGGGCACCACCGGCATGCCCTCCGCGCCGACCGCTGTCTGCCCGGGGCCGACCCGCGAAGGGCTGCCCTTGGATGTGGGGCCTGGGCCTCCTCCGCGTCCCGCCCCCTCCTCGTCCGCACGCCCGTCTGTCTCTGGAAACGCATCAACGATTTCAAAGGTCTCTTCGTCTCGGAGCGAGGGGCGTGCGGCCGTGTTCTTGGGGTGACCTGAAATAAGAGCGCAAGGAGCCCCACCGAGTGAGGGTGTGGCGTGGCCAGGGGCGTCTGTGGGCTCCGTGTCCCCGGCCCCCTGCAGCGCGCCTCCCAGAGGCCCTGACCCCGAGGCCAAGCCCGTGCCAGGAGGAGGGTCGCGGGCGGAGGGCACATGCTCGGGTGGCTGGCTTCGGGAAGGCGCGGGCGGCCCGTCCACCTCTTCCCAGCTGGAGGAGGAGCTGACAGCTGACAGCTTGCTCCAGGAGCTGCAGCTCTGGCTGTCACTCAGGGACTCGCGCAGAGCGGCCCCCTGGCCCCTGCTGTGGCCTGGGGACCCAGCCTCAGTCTCGGCGTCTTCGTCCAAGGAGACTCGAAAAGCGTCAGGACGGGTCCAGTTGCTGCGCCCGGCGTCCGCGGGGGTCCCCTGGTCGTCCCCGGGCGGCCGGGAGG